TTGTGTACAGTATCCAAGGAACAAATGGTGGCAGTCAAAAGACAGAAATGTAAGAAAGGTCACAAATACCTGGAAAATATACTAGATTAAAATTTCATTAAGTCTCAGATTCTTTGCAGGAATACATAGACCTAGCTCTAATATCTTTTAAATGTAAGTAGGAAACACAAGCCTGAACAAAAGACAAATATGTAAGTTGTATGTTAAATACACAGAAGATTCTATAGGGAAAATCAGGGCACAGATGTACAAATTAATAATGAATAATATAGAAATTTAACCTGTATACATATACATATGTATTAAAATATGTATATGTATAATACATATATTATACATATTTTTCAGTGGTTGCTATTTTAAAAATTAACATCTATTTTCTGTTGCCACAAGGTTAATTACAATTCAGTTGTTATTTTGTTGTTGTTTTAATTTATTTATTCTTTAAATTTTGTTATACATAATAGCAGAATGCATTTCAATTCATAGTACACGTACAGAGCACAAATTTTCATGTCTCTGGTTGTACACAAAGTGGAGTCACACCATTTGTGTCTTCATACAGGTACTTCGGGTGATGATATCCATCTCATTCCACCATCTTTCCTACCCTCCGGCTCCCTCCCTTCCCTTTGCCCTATCTAAAGTTCCTCCATTCCTCCCATGTCCCCGCCCCAAACCCCATTATGGATCAGCTTCCATATATCAGAGAAAATATTTGGCCTTTGGTTTTTTGGGTTTGGCTTAGTTCACTTAGCATGATATTCTCCAATTCTATCCATTTACCTGCAAATGCCATGATTTTATTCTCTTTTATTCCTGAGTAACATTCCATTGTGTATATATACCACAGTTTCTTTATCCATTCATCTACTGAAGGGTATCTAGGTTGGTTCCACAATTTAGCTATTGTGAATTGTGCTTCTATAAACATTGATGTGGCTGAGTCACTTATTATGCTATTTTTATATCTTGAGTATAGACCAAGGAGTACAATAGCTGGGTCAAATGGTGACTCCATTCCTAGTTTTCCAAGGAATCTCCATACTGCTTTCCATAATGGCTGCACCAATTTGCAGTTCTACCAGCAATGTATGAGTGTTCCTTTTTCCCCACATCCCTGCCAACACTTATTGCTGTTTGTCTTCATAATAGCTGCCATTCTAACTGAAATGAGATGAAATCTTAGAGTAGTTTTGATTTGCATTTATCTAATTGCTAGAGATGTTGAACATTTTTTCATATATTTGTTGTTGATTGTATATCATCCTCTAAGAAGCCTCTGTTCAGTTCCTTGGCTCATTTATTGATTGAGATATTTGGGTGTTTTCTTTGGGGGGGGTGGGTGTTGTTTTTTGAGTTCTTTGTATATCCTAGAGATTAGTGCTCTGATATGTGTGTGGTAAAAATTCCCTCCCATTCTCTAGGCACTCTATTCACCTCACTGATTGTTTCTTTTGCTGAGAATAAGCTTTTCAGTTTGAATCCATCCCACTCATTGATTCTTGATTTTTATTTCTTGTGCTATAGGAGTCTTGTTAAGGAAATCGGGGCCTAATCCCACATGATGAAGATTTGGGCCTTCTTTTTCTTCTATTACGTGCAGGGTCTCTCTGGTCTAATTCCTAGGTCCTTGCTCCACTTTGAGTTTTGTACATGGTGAGAGACAGGGGCTTAATTACATTTTGCTGCATATGGATTTCCAGTTCTCCCAGCACCATTTGTTGAAGAGGCTATGTTTTCTTCAATACATTTTTGGCACCTTTGTCTAGTATGAGACAAAAAGAGGAATCTAACTGTATTTAGGTGGGTTTGTCTCTGTGTCTTCTATTCTGTACAATTGGTCTACACGTCTAATCTGTTGGTGATACTTTCTATTGAGTTTTTAATTTGATTTATTGTTTCCTTCATTTCAAGGATATCTGGGTTTTTTTTCAGAACTCTATCTTCCTATTGAAGTAATCTTTCACTACTTGTATTTGCTTATGTAGCTCTTTATCAAAATGATCTTTTGCTATCTGTATTTGCTCTATTATATTGTTCTTTAATTCACAGAACATTTTAATTATGTATATCCTGAACTCCTTATTCATCATTTCTTCTGTTGTGCTGGCCATGGATTCTAATAACGTAGTATCTTGCTTTGTTTGGGGCACTTTCTTCCTTTGTTTTTTCATATTCATGTATCTTCCCTTCTAAACTGCGGAACTGAGGTATTACAATTTTTAGTGTTCCTGCAGGGTTCCAGTACCTCTCCTTTAAGGAGCAGAACAATATTAACAGATCCTAATACAAACAATATGCAGCCTTAAACCAAATAGTTGCTATTAAGATGTTTATGGTTTTGTCACAATATACAGAAATGTTGAGTTCAGTTATTATCTACAATATAAACTGTAGATAATAAAAACATAGGTTTGCAAAAGGGTCTAGAGTTTCTGTTGGTAGACAAAGAGAGAACCAGGGGTGAGGTGTAGGAAGAGGTGTTAAGGAGGTAAGGGGTGAGGATATAGAGTTATTAGATTTTAGGACACTTGAGAGTGGAATCTAAAAAAGTTGGCTAGTAGCAGAAGATAAGAGAGAAAGTGATTTTGGGGAGACAAGTAAGTGGGAAGACAATAGAGAGAGTATAAAAAACAAACATAAAAATTAAGAAAAATAAAAATGTAAAAATTGGAGATACAAGAATATATAACACAACCTACTATTCAGACATTGCAGTCTTCAGTAGCCTAATTCATGAAAAGTACTTGGTTTCACAAATGTTGGGGATGTGAGGGCAGGAAAAGAGAGAGAGGAAAAAAAGAGGAAAAAAAAAAAACAAAAAAAATCTCCAAGGAAAATATAAGGATTGGTTTTGTTGCAGTTCAATATCTTTCCTAATTCCCTTTTCATCCAATAGGTGGGGTTGTCTGTTGTTAGCTCGGGATGGTGGAGGTTATTAGAGTGGGAGGATTGGTCTTGGGGTGGAGCTCCTGGAGGTGGGGTATAGCACTTGCTGGTCCCCAATGGGAGACTACACCTCAAGGATCTCCTTTGAGGCCCGCTTGTGTGATGTGGGCAGCTAGTCTTGTCTCCTTATATCCCCTGTAGACCTCACAATTCTTGGTCTCTAATTTAGTCTCTAAACTGTATCTCACTCACTCCCTCCCTTTCTACTTCCCAATCAGGAACCTC